CCCCGAGCGCTCCCTACCCCGCGGCGCCGACCCGGGGCGGGCTCGGCGGCGCCGGTCCCGACCCCGACTCACGCGGTGCGGCCGCGGCGGGCGGAGAGGCGACGGTTTGGGGCGGCGGGCGGCCCTTTATAGGCGCCGCGGCGGCGCGAGTGGGCCGCGGTGCCGCCGAGAGGAGGCGGCCGGGCCCGGGCCGGAGCGCCCCGCGCAGCGCGCAGCGCCCCCCAGCGGGCGGGAGGACTCTTCTGGCTCCCTCCCGGCTTCCACCATTTCGGGGGCGCCACAGGAGAACGGGCCGCGTTGGGAATGATTAAAGTTAATCGTTGTTGGAAATTGTGTCTCTTGCGTTGTTAGTTTTAGGGCAATAAAGGCAAGGAGATGAGGGGGGTCCGCCAGAGGTCGCAAAGATGGTTTGGGGTCTGGAACATCGCTCTCATGAGGGGAGGCTGCGGAAGATGGGCCTGGAGGAGGGAAGGCTGAGAGGGATCCCATAAATCTATAAAATATCCCCAAAGGGTGTCAGAGGAATGTGCCAGATTGTTCATTGTTCCCAACATGGAGCAACAGCCGTAAACTAAAACACAAGTTTCACCTCAACAGATTTAGGGATGAGTCCCCTGTGGGCAGCTGGCAGGGAGATGGATCCACAGCAAAAAACCCCAGAAGAGTTTGTGGGGTTGTTTTCCCTCCCACCCCATCCTACATGTGCAGATGTCTCACAGGGCAGCTCAGTCCCACCATAAAACACCAAAAAAATCCAGGGAAGACTTCTGGGGAGAGCGGGGCCATGGGGCAGAGGAAGAGCGAACAATTCCTCTGGGATTTTTCTTCTCCGAGCTCTGGTTTTGGAGGTGTTGCTGGCAGCGGGATGAGGAGCTGTTGCCACAACCTCCTCCTCCTCTTCAGAGCATCATTTTTCCCCAAATTAGCGCGAATTTCTGCAGCAGCCCTAGTGCTGTGCCAGCTCCCACCATGGGCTGACCTATCCCAATGTCTCCCCATGGAATCGAGCTGTTAGTCCCTCTTCCCAGGGTGAGGCTCAAACAGCTCCCAACAGAAAGCTGCTGGAAAGGGAGAGGGATTCTCCCCCCTCTGCTGCTGTCCCGTGGCTTCACGCTCATGAGATCAGCTGCGGGGAGATCCGTAATTATCTATTTCCAGCATCTTCAGCGGAGCGTGAGGACACGGCAGTGCAGGATTCAGTGATTCATCAGTGACCTTCAGGCTCCATGGCTGTCCTGTTAAGGGAGACTAAGATAGTCTATAGACACTGGTTAGCTGGGCATTGTGGCTTTTCAATTGTTAAATTGCCTTTAATTTGCTTTAAAAGAGGGATACAGCGTTACCATAAAAATGGGATATGGTATCTTCCCCTTCAGTGGAATAATCTTCCACTACAGTGGAATAATCAAGAGTAGCAGAAAAAAGGTAAAAATAGCAAAGCAAATTGTAGTGATTAGCAATATTTTCTGTCCTGAAAAACACGAATGACACAAATCCTCCTCCTCCTGCTCTCATCATTCTCCCAACAGCCGAGGGTGCTGCAAGGCCGCACTGGTGGGATCACACCTGCCACTGTTTTGTGCTCGGTCCTTCACAGCTGGCACCTCCTCTGCTGGGAAACCAGGGACATGACACAGGCATGTCACTGTGGAAGAGCTCAGCTCCTGCTTTGACAGCTGAAGTCAAAACACAGCCCAGCTCAAAGAGCGTGTTTCCACATAAAACGCCCTTTGGCTGCAGCAGCCGCTGCGGCTCTGATTTGAAACATATTCAGTGACATTTGTGCTCCCTCCCAGCGGACTCGGTGCAGACAGCCACAGTCCTGTGTCCTGCTCCATCCTTTTCACTCCCCACACGGACTGACAGGCGGTGGGTACAAAACTGCCCCAGGGACCCCCTGCTCTTGGTGCCCTCAGCACACGAGTGCAGCTGCTCCTGGTGACCTGAGATACCTGAGATCCTCCCAGCTGGCTCTCTCAGGACCTTCAGCAGCGCCTGGAGCAGCGGGGACATCTGTTAATGGCTTTATCTGGCCAATCCATGCCCATCGATGGTGCTGGTGGGTCACCCATCCATCATCCAGAGGCCTCCCAAGCTGCTGTGCCACCATGTGTCTGAGCTGTGCCTCGGTCCTTGATGGTCACCCTGAAAGATCAGCCAATTCTCAGCACAGATGGCAGGCTTTCCACCAAATGCTGCCCCCGGTTTAGGGTTTCTCCTCCTCGGCTTTAGGATTTCGCCAGCAGATGGCAGGGAGGGATTGCTCCAGGAGCAGGGAGGAGGGAGAACATCTCACCCCGGGCTGAGATAAGCAATGTTCGCCATGCAGGGGAATTTGGGAGAGCAGGGCTGGCTCCTGCAGCACCTGCCGCTCAGCAGCTCTCCCACAGCCTGGGAGTGTCCCGTGTCCCTGTCCCCTCCAAGCTTGTTCATCAGGACCCTGATTTGTTCCACGTTGGGTGGGAGCCTTGTTTAACACCGCTGTGCCACCGAGCTGCCCACGCCTTCCCACAGCCTTCCCCATCAGGATTTTTATTTTGCCTGAAGAACAAGGATGAAGGGAGTGCACCCAGAGTTCGGGGATTTCCCCTGCAGGGTAGATCAAAAGCTGAGAAAACCCTGGGAAAAAAAACAAAATAAAATGAAGCTGCAGTCCCGAGCTACTGCTCTGTAATCACCGTGTTGCTGTGGGGAGAAAACCCCACGGGCCTGAACCGATGCCCTTCCACCCACCCTGGCTCCCTTTTGATCCACAGAGATCAGGAAGTGGCTTTGGTTTTTATTTTTCTTTTTTTTTTTTTTTTTTTTTCCACTGTCTCTGTTTTGTTTTAGCCCTGTAGCCCGCGGGGCCGGTTTGTGTGGCTGCCTCCCACAGAGGGGAATTTGGTTTTGGTTCTTCTCTCTGGCCGAGGCCACAGCAGAGCACTGAGCTCCCACCATCACCTCCAGCCGGGTCAGGGCAGCCCGGGCACCGCGGGACCAGCCTTCATCAATAGCCCCATTATTGCTCCTGAAGTTTCTCCCCGCTCCCAGACAGATGCTGCATGACTCCATCACAGCTGCAGTTGCTCCCTTCCAGCAATTCCCCACACAGCACTTAAGGAAGGGATTTATGGGCGGTTTTGAAAGGCATTTTGCAGCGAGAAGGAGTTATGGGAAAGGAAGTTGAATTCCCACCATTCCCCAGTAAAATTCTCCCAAGCATCTTTCACGAAGAGGGATCATTTACTGGTCCTTTCCTCAAAGCAGAGACAGGCTCTCAGCTGTGGCTCTTTGTTTAGTCCAAAGCATTTCCCCACAGCGAGATGCCACAGGGGTTATTCTGGTCCTGGCTGCAAAGGGTCAGCAGAGCAGGGCGAGCCCTCAGTCTGGCTGTAAGGCTCTGCCAGACCCCATCTCTTCCCTGACACTTTTTTAGACATTAAATGAAATTATTTCGTCTATTGCCAAGCTCAGGGCAAGCCTTGGTGAATACCCTCTGATTCTGACTCGTTTTCCCCAAGTAAAAAGTCTTAGGGCCAGAATGACCAAGAGCTATAAAACCATCAGAGGGGATGTCACATTAAAATCTGCATATTACCTTTTTTTTGAAGCTTTTCAGGGATCAAAACCTGGCACAAAATTACTCACCAATGACCTTCCCAGGTCCCTTCTGCGATCCGAGCAGATTGGATTCACTTCAACACTACATTGCACAACCAGGACAGGGGTTTGAAAGACTTTATTTGACACCTTAGCTGATGTCACAGCTCGTGAATCTAAGAGCACTGCACAGTGTAAAGTGAGGCCGTGAGCTCTAGTGCACAAACCAGCTGCAGGAACAGCCAGGGCCCACCAGGATTTCCCTCCTGTGACTTTATTAAAAGGGAATATGTTGTTCCTGGCTGATTCCAGCACTCGAGGACAAGGGTGAGAAGCAGCAGAGGCATTTCTGTGTGTTAATGCGATGACTTCCACCAAAACAGCTGGGAGGGACTCACTTCCCAAACAATGGCAGGTACATACATTGACATGCACACGGCAGATACCATCTGCAGGAAGGAAAACAACAGCTCATCCACACAGCCCAACCGGCTGCACCTCTGACCTGAGGCATGGGAAGAGTTTCTCCCACTCAAAAGAGATCTTCTCCCTCTTTTTCACCTTTCTTTGCACTGACCTCTCCTCTCTTTGTCGTGGGCAAGGGTTGGGCATGCAGCTGGGTCCAGAATATTCTGCATGTGTATCCCAGCAAGTCAAGGCACAAATGCAGGGAGCTGTTCGGGTGAGGGGGAGCACTGGGACACCCTGCCCTGCCACCACGGCACAGGCTGGCTTGAAAGCTTCAAGCTTCTGTTCTTTCTGCCCAAAGAGGAGAGGAGGGGAGGCCAGCTGCAGGAGCAGAGGTGTGACCTGCTGTGACAGTCATCATGGGGCACACAGGGCGAGCTCTCAGGACTCAGGACAAGTGCAGTGACACCTCAGTGGGTTTTGGTCCCGGCCCAGGGAGGGGGATGAGAGGTGTGAGACCCAAACATAGTGCTGGAGAAAGAAAACAGAGACATCGTGGGAGGGGAGGGTGAGGGATGCTGAGCTCAGGGAGAACAAGGGAGGCACTTCAAATTCAGGCTGCTCCAACCCATTTTCTCCCTTTGCAGTCATGGCTGTTCAGCAGGGGGTGGAGGAGAGACAGCTCCAGCAGGGAGGCTGGCAGAGGGAAGGGCATTTTCTTCTCACTTTGGCAGTCAGAGCCTTCCCCTCGGTGACAGGCGTCCCTTTGAAATCCTCTGTCTCACCTCTTCACACCTCGGTGCGGGGCAGGGGCTGTGCCCGGGCAGCCTGGCTGGCTTCTCCAGCAGGGTTTGTGCTGGAAAATCAGCACAGGCCCTGCAGCCACGGCAGGATCTCAGCCGGGCTGTGGGAACGAGCCCTGCTAAGCCGCTGCCTCACTCCACCTTAAGGGCACATAAGTGGGGAAAGCTGGTAATGCAGAGAGGAAAGCACGGGGATTAGCAGGGAGCTGGGGGGGCTGGAGCCTGCCCTGAGGGTGCCAGCAGTGCTGGGCATAGGGTGTGAGCTGTGTCCATCCCAGCACACCAAAATTAGGTGCTGCAGCTGGGGGATGCGTCGCAGGGAATCGGCACGAGCAAGTCTGGCTGGCAGCTCCGAGTCCCCGGGGAAATAAAGGCAGTATTTCAAGGCTGGCTGTTTTCCAGAGGAGAGCGAGGCTGGGTTCTGCAGAGGGGTTTGCTGGAGGAGGAATGGTGTTGGGATCTGTGTGTGCCCCCTCCCTCGTATATCCAGAAGGGTCTGGAGCGCGGCCTCGTGCAGACAAGTGCGTGGAACTGGATGTGATTTACGTTTGCAGGCATCACGAGGGAGAGGATGGTGAGGCGAGGAGGGCGGCGCGAGGAGGGAGGCGAGAGCAGAGAGAATTTTCTCTATGGATCCTTGGCTTCTGCAAAGCGGAAAAGACGCCTTTTCAACCGAGTTTGTCCTCAGGGTGATGAACACTGAAGAACTCCTGTCTCCAGAAGAGGAGGGAGGGTCAGAAAGCCCCGATCTCCGTCGCCCAGGAGCGGCAGATCCTGGATGTCCCAACCCTGATCCCTGGTCCCTGCGTGGCAGCGCCCAAGACGGGAGGTGCCACATAAGCTGGTGGCACAGGGATGCCTGCAGAGGCCGGGGAGAAGAGGAATGTGGCGATTTGGCTGCTCTTGGATGAGCCCTCTCTCAGCGCTCCCGCTGGCGATGCCATCCTGGGCACGGCTGGCACGGCTGTGGCCGAGCTGGCACCGCGGGCCCTCCGGCTGGAGGAGCCCATCCTGCTGGCCAGGAAGCTCCGGCGGGAGGGCAGCATCTCACCGGGGACACGGCGGAGAGGGGCCGGCCTCACTGCAGGGCTGGGGTAGGGCAGGGAAGATGCAGTCAGAACAAGCGGAGCGGCAGGAGCAGCCTCCCTCCTGGGCATCTGCACCGGCCCCGCGGCGCCGTGCAGGAAGGACCAGGGCCAGCTCTGGATGGGCAGCAGGGAGGTGGCCACGGGTGAGGGCTCCATTTCTGCCACGTAGTTATTCAGGTGGGACAGGAGTCGCAGCCGGATGGGGTCGGCAGCGTTTTGGCCCTCGAGGATGCCCAGGTACCTGACAACTTCAGTCAGACACTCGCGGAATCCGATACTCCTGTAATCCACGGCCAGAGCCCGGGCATCCAGCAAGCCTGGAGGGAGAGGATATGGGTGGCGGTAAAACCGTGCAGAGCTCAGGAATGCGCTTGGATTTCAGTACCCTCTCTAATGCACCGTGTATCTCACTTGAGGCACTTTGCTGCCGTGTGATATTCCTGAAGCAGGCAGCCAAGTGGGTGTCCCAAGGGACTGGGCGTTTGTGAGATGAGAGAGGCATCTGTGGTTATCTCAGAGGGATAAACCCGCCAGGGTCAGGCAGGGTTTATCCCTCTGCCTGTGTCAGGAAGGGTTTTTTCCTATTGGATTCTATCAGTGATGCTGGAGATGTGGCTGTGGGATAGACTGGGCTGCCTTTGCCAGTGGGATATTCCACTCAGGACAGCGTCTCCTCAACACACAGCTGAGCATCACTTCCCTCTGCCTGGCTCCCAAAATTTACACACCCTTTAAAGCAGTGTCAGAAGCAAAGCAGCTGGGCTGAGGAAGCTCAAAGCCACAGAAATCACCAAGCAACCGCTGATTTTCAGGCTTCTGCTCCCAACTTGTAGCTTCACGAGACCATAAGCAATAAAGCAGAGAATGTCACAGCACAGTGAAGTGCTGGACCACTGTGCTTGATGGGGTCTCTCGTGACAATGCAGCCCTTTGTTGCAGTGCAGTCAAACTGAATATCTAAACAAATGTTCCAGACCAAGTTACAGCCCTGAACCAAAGCCTGGATGCCAGCAATGTCCCCAGCAAGCCAAAACTGGGTGGTAAGCAAGCCAGAGGCTTCTTTACTGGAGCTGTGATCTCCATCCTGTTAACTGGAACAGGACAGAGGGTCTGTACTGAGGTCTCAGTACAAATAAGATCTTTGTTGGATTTTGCACAGGGCTCCCTCTCTCTTCTTATAACAACCAAGAGACACACAGACAAAAAAAAAAGAACAGAAAGGGAAAAAAAGCCTTGTTTATTTGCAGAGTCCTCATGCAGAATTCAGCCTCCGCAGGAAATGTATCCCAGGGAGGAGGTAAAGAGTTTAATATGGTTTTTCTGGAAGCAGGCTCCATTTCTGAGCAGGAATAAATGAGTCTCTGGCAAAACAGCTTTTGGCAGGGGGTGTGACACCAACAGTGCTGTCCCTGTGGGGCTGGGGGCTCAGCATCCCACATACCCCAGACTCCCAAATGGATGCATGGGGTGCTGACCCATCTGTAGGAAAATGCCCATCTGCCCTCCCTCAAAACGTATTTCCCTTGGGAAGCAGGCAGAGCTGGCTGGAGGCAGCTCCCCAAATTCCAGTGGGGAATTTCCCTTCCAGGTTTGCACCTTCACCTCACCCATGTGCTCACAAGAGCAGCTCTTACCTGCTCCTCCTGTGGCGTGAAGCATTTTCAAGTGATCCACTGTCATTTGGAGAATTTCTGCCTTCTCCAGCTTGGAAGACCCCTGTGTTGGGAGCAGAAAGGAAAAGCCATTTGTCATTTTATGGTCCAGGGCTTTGTGCTTCTCAGGGTTTGACCAATGATTTCCTCCCTGAAACCTCTCTGAAGCCCAGGAGTGCTCAGAACAGCGCAGGGCAATCACCAGGGCTCTGTTTTTCACATCAAGTGAGCAGAAAAAGGAGCTCCTTCATGATGCGGATTGAAAAAAATCCCCATTTCTGTGCTTCCTCATATCTGCAAAACACTTCCTAGACTGATTTGATCCTCCCCAGGGCTCCTGAATATTTGCTAATATCATTTCACCACCCCAATTCCACCACCCACTTACTCCCGCGAGGGAGGAGGGTAAGAAAGGCAAAGCCTGGCTCCAGACTGCCTCATTCTGGGGGCTGTACCCCAAACCCTGCACGTCCCAGGGGGCACCAGGGGCTCCCCAAACCCCAACACACACCTGCTTCTCAAAGGCCGTGGGCACCAGGCGCCGCAGCTCCGAGAGGCTGCTGTTGATGCGGTCGCGGCGCCGCTTCTCGATGATCTGTGGGAGATTCCCAAGGAGACAGAAGGAACCACAGTCACTGACAGCCACAGCTCACAGGTCTGAAACCCTCCAGGTGCTTTGGAAGGGCTGTGTGTGTGTCAATGTTTTGGGGTGCAGGAGTTGGGTGGAGAAACGTGGGCTGGTGTGGTAAGCCCAGGTGAAATTGCTCTCCCATTTTCTGCCAATTGGCTTTTTGGGAGAGTTCTGCAGGACGTGGGGCAGGAGCAGTGTAAAGGTGATTTTAACAGTAAGGAATGGCCAACAGCTCCCCAGTGCTCCCCTGGCACACAGCGCCAGCCTGACCAGGGGACACAGCTGCCCTGATCATCATAAAGAACACTCACCCCTCTCCTCTTCTTCCTGGCTTGTATCTGAGATGTCGTGGTGGGAGACACAGACCTGGAAACATGGCTGCAAAGGAAGGAGAGGGGATCATTTCTGGCTGGAGAGCAACCTCTGTTGCACATATGTTCTACACACGTTTGCCATCTGCAGTTTCCTCCCCCCCCCACCCCAAAAAATGTCTCCTGTGGTTCCCATCTCATTTTTACCCACAACACAGAGCTCAGGAATTGGGGATGGGGAGCAGAGCAGACACTTGAATCCCACTCTCTCCCCTCTGAGAATCTCCCACTAGTCTGGGACAGATTTCTGCACCAAACTGTCCATCCTTTCCCAGGCACAATTCCTCCATCCCAGCCTGTGATGACATCTCCATAGGGCTGGAAAAGCAGCGATCTGAGCTCTGGAGTCATGGCCTTTTCTCCTCCACATGTGAACCTCCCGTCTCTCTCTCATGTCTGAGCCTGCCCTGTCTGCAGGGCCTTGCATCCCAGAGCCGTGATAGCAGCAGGGATGTGAGCCCTGGGATCCCAGCTCCCACCCAGGGAGGGCTGGCTGCTCCTCAGGGTGAGGCCAGTGGTGCCACTGATGTGGTTTCTGAGGGCTTCCCAGAGCAGTCGCTTCCCAAACCGCGATTTTCGGGGTGGGCCGGGATGTTCTGAACTCACGGACGCCCCTGAACCGTTCAGAGAGGACACCTGGTGACAGAGCAGGGACCCTCCTGCTGGCTCACAGGGGATGAGGGACGTCATGGGGACAATCTAAGGAGCAGGGCTCCACAAACCACCCAGCTAAAAGCACCAAAGGTCAGCACAAGACACGCAGAAAGAAGCAAAGTTCAACCCCTGGAGGTGAAGTCTCCATAACCACGGATAACCACGTGTGGGAAACTCCCCGCAGCAAGACCCCAAGGCTGAGGAGGGGGATGAGGCTGGCTGGGCCCCCTCCCACCTCCCCCAAGCAGGGTTTGTCCCTCTGCACAGGGCAGCTGGCTCAGGGCTGTCCCTGTGCCTTACCAAACTCACTCGGAGCAGGGATGTGAACACAGCCCTGGCCAGCCCAGCGTGCCCCAAGGAGCAGAGCTGGTGCCACACACCCAAATCTGGAAAAGGGGCACTTGGGTCCACCCCAACCCAAATGCTTTTCAGCTTGACGAAGCACTTTAATAAGAGTCTATTAAAGATTTCCCTGCACAGACAGTGCTGTCTGCAGCCAGCCGACCCAGGGCAGCCTATTAAAAATAGGCCCAAGCGAGCTGCTTTCAGAAGTGGTTTTACACAATAACACGTTCTTCTACTGCCTGCTCTGCTCATCTCCATGCAGGTCCCCTATTTGAATGTCTGCTGGGTGGGCTCTCTCTGGGCAGAGGTGCTGGCTGGCTCCACAAGTACTGACACGCATTGCCAGCTACACAGACACACAGAAAATTAGCAATTTTGGTGTGAAAATGGGCTCTGTGTGGACACCAGAGTGTTTTAGGTGCAGGGGGCAGGTGCTGAATTCACCTGGAAATGCAAAATAGGCATCCAAAGAGGAATAGGGATTTTTGAAACTCTCTTTGTAGAGCTGTCTGGATGCTTTTGTCCCAGTGAGCTCTTGGTGATGTGGATATCAACACCCATCTCACTGCAAAATGTATTTTAAAAATACATCTGGTGCATTTGAACCACACAGAAGATAGTGTGAGTATATTCTCCAATGATTAAAATTTCTGCATTGCTCTTTGCTTGGTTTTATCACCCACAGCATAACTCTGGCTGTGAACTGAGCAGATCTTGCACTTCTGCAGTGACCCCGCAGCCTAAACTTGCTCCACACACCGATCCAAGCCTCACACCCGGCGTGACTCATCCCCTCACTACAGGGAAACTGGTTTGCCCAAAGCACCCAGCCGATGGGTAATGGGCTGGGAACCCCAGCCAGGCAGGCAGCCTCTCTCTGCTCTAATCACTCCTCCTCCTCCTCACTCCCCACCTGGAAATGTTTGATTTTTCTGGGTGCACCAGCATCCCATGCAGGCTGGCATTACTCAGGGTGTGCCCCCAGCAGGGCAGGAACTGCTCTTTTGGCTGTAGATTTGCGTGGCATGAGGAACAACATCCACCTATACAAATATCACCAGATCGCAGCCAGCCTGCTTCCACCACTGGCTCGAGAAGGCAAACACATTAGCAGCACCACAGAGAGATTAAAAGTTCATCGTTACTGGTTATCAAAATAAAATATTGTGACAATTCCAGTGTTTTATCCCTACGGGCTCTGTGCTGCACTGATGTGAAGAGGTGGGATGCATTTCAGCTGCAGCAGGGAAGCAGCTTAAATATTGATGCACTTGGAAACGCATAAGGGCTCAGGGAATTTCTGCAGGACATTTTGTGTAAGATGTGCCCGACTCTGCTGCGACTGTATCAGAGGCAGATTCATGAACTGAGTCCCATGAGAAGCTGAGCTTGGCACCAGCCAGGCAGTTCCTCCACTGAGGATACCAAAGAGCAAGAGGGAATGAATTAATCCAAGGCCTCGCTGGACGCTGAGGGAGGGGAAACGCTTGGCTACTGAAACAAGAGTTCAAAAGCAGCTGATTTTTGGATGGGAACAAATAACAGAGCCTTTCCTTCATCCCCTGTGCCGTCTGCACCCTCGGGAGGGCTGAGCCAGCCTGGAGTGCCCGGTGCCAGGGGAGCCTGAGGGCATCGCCAGGGGAAGCACGCACGGCTCCTGTCCTCACCATTCCCTCACAAACAGCAAAGCCGAAATTGCAGCTCAGCAGCGATGGGACAGAGCCTGCACTGCCGAGGGGCATCGGGACAGCCCTTCCCCAGCACATCACAGCCCCAGCTGCTGCCTTACCGATGCACCAGCACGGCAGAAGCGTTTTTCTCATGCAAAACCTCTCGTTTCTTCCACATTCCCTGTGAGCCCTCGGGCTGCCTGAGTGCAGGGGTGTGGGTGCCTCTGCTCTGGGGGGGCTGCCCCATCTCGGGGTGCAGCGGACAGAACGGGTCCCACTGCCCTTCTGCCACCTGCCAGGAGAAGCCCCCTTTGATGGGATTCTCCGGACTTTAACACTTGTATGGCCACTTGGGTTTCCTTGCTGGGTCAGCCCCATGGCCAGCATCAACCCTGGCCGGCACTCTGGGGTCATCCTGCAGGACCAGCCCGACTCCGAGGGGTTAAGCGAGGTGCGAGGCACTCCCGGTGCAGCCGTGCCAGTCTTGGTGCCTTTCCTTGCCATGCCCGGTGCAGCCGTGAAAGACCCGGTGCCCTCCCTTGCCATGCCCGGTGCAGCCGTGGCAGCCCCGGTGCCCTCCCGTGCCCGTTGCCAGCTCCGGGGCCCTCCCTTGCTATGCCCGGTGCAGCCGTGCCAGTCCCGGTGCCCTCCCTTGCTGTGCCCGGTGCAGCCGTGCCAGCCCCGGTGCCCTCCCTTGCCGTGCCCGGCAGGCACCGAGCGCTGCCGCCCCTCGCAGCCCGCGGGGAGCGGTCCTGGAGTTTTGGGGGTTTTTTTACCCCAAATCCCCGCGTGGGACGGAGCCTGCCCTCACCTGTACTCCTCCTCCCGGCCCACGTCGATGGTGCCGTCAGACTCGGTGTCGGACGAGCTCTCCTCGCAGAGCCGCTTCATGCTGGCACGGCGAGAGGCCGCTGGGCTGGCCGAGGTTTCCCCACGCGTGGCCCCGGTGCCGTCCGTGCCCGCCGCGCTCGGGGCAGCGCTCTGTCCCTGCCCGCGCTCCGCCGCTCCGGCCCCGCACGGCTCCTCCCCTGCCCGCTGCGCCTCTCCCACCCCCGGCTCGCCTTGCCCGGCTCCCTCCCGGCACGTCCCCACCTCCCGGCTAATGGGTTAATGAGCCACCATCTCCCCGGAGTGACGGATTACGCGGCCGCGCCGGCGCTCCCCGGTTCCCAGGGCCCCCCCTGCGAGCCCCGCCGCCTCCTCCCGCTCGCTGGTCGAAATCCCAAGTCTTCCTGTAAAAGGAACAGTCTGTGTGAACCGTCTCATGTCCCCCCCGCTCCCGCCCGCGGCCCCCCTTCCACCCGCCGCACATTGGCCTCAGCCCCAGTTTAAAGGGACCAGTGACCTCACTGGCAACAGAAAACCGTGGGAAAGAGATGGGACTGATAAAGCCTCGAGTTGTTTCAGGGAAAAAATCAACATCCAGCCCCACACGCACACGCATGTCTGCCCGGCTCTGCGGGCTCGGGGCTCGCTCGGTTCGGCTCAAGGGGCTGCCATCATTCGGTGGCCACCGGCGAGGGCCGGGTGGCAGCGGTGGCACCGAGCTCGGGCCAGCTCTGGTGCCACCGGGAGCTCGGCTCCCTGCCACGCTCCCACAGCCTCGGAGCCTCCTCAAGTGCCAGCTCCCGGCGCTGCCAGGGCGTTTGACACCGACCCTGCGAGGCAAAACGGCCGAAGCCCAACTTCAGGCTTTGTAACACTGGGATGAATCGCTTTCTGGTGTGTTTTCACAATTCTGGAAAGTTTAACCCACAGCCCAGCGCCGAGCGAGCATCTCCCTTTCCCCGCTCCTGCAGGAATCTGTTTTTCAGAGCCCTGCTGCTGCTGCTGCTGCTGCTAAAATCCCCCAAGGCAGCAAAAACGTGTGCGTGTGGGAGAGAGACAGGGAGAGGGGAGGAGGGAGAGCGCCGAAGTGGAGGTTCCCAGTACGAAAATAATGCCTTTTATTTTGAAGAAAATAATCGGCGCTGAGATCTGGCAACACGTGGGTTTCCCAAAGCCCTTGTGCAGAGACCGCGGCGGCGATAAGAGCCCGGGCCAGCCAAGCCGCCCGTCTCCCGTGGCCTCCCGGGCTGTGCTCCCTTATCTCCCTCAGCCATCTCTGCCAGCTCACCCACCGAGGTGTCTGCGATTCCCCAGCAGCTCCGGAAAAGCCAAATCCCGGCTCCTGCCTGCCCTTCGCCCACGCTGAGCACAACACAGACCCACCCCCGAGCAGATTTTTGGGTCTGAACCACATCATTCTCCCTTCTGAAGTGAAGCAGCAAGGACCTGAAGCAGTCATCCTGGGCTGGAGCGGAGCACTGAGTTCTCGGCAGTGTTTGTAAACTGAAAAAAAAAGGGAGTAAAACCTTTGCTTTAGGTCCCAGCGCTTTGTTGCTCTAATTCTGGTGTTTTGTTTTCACTGTGAGAAGTGGTCAAGAAGCCGAGCTGTTATTAGCTTACATTTCCAAATGAAAAGTTACTTTGAACCAGAAGAATTAGGAAAGTGTTATTTTAGCAGTTTTGAGACCCGCTCCTCCTCCCTTTCCAAAGTGATTTCAGTTAGAAACACATACATCTCCAAACCAAACTTCCCATAAACATGTGTTTTTGAGAGATTAATACTCTTTCCACTGATAAAACCATTTAAATGGGATCCTGAGATTGGTTGTTTCAGGCTCTTGCTCGTATCACAGCGAGCCTGCACCAAGCTGAGCCCAGACCTGCCACAGAGGAACACTTTTCTTCTCCATTAGAAAGGAATTCACTGTCCAGACTCCATCTTTTCTGGGCCCTGTCTAAGCATCATTATCTGGGTTCAATTGAAGTGTAATTGGCAACATGTTTTCCTAGGATTACACTTCATTATGAGCAGAGCAGGGGCCCCCAAACCCACTTCTCCTGTAATCGGATCCCTTCTCCAGCCTGTGCTCCTGGAGAGTCCTTTCCAACCGACCCCAGGGATCCCAGGGGGGATTGTGAGGGACATCTGAGCCACCCCAGATGGAGCAGGGACCCCTCATGGGATGGTTCAGTGGAGACAACAGGGAAGGATTAAATGGGTTTAGCTGCGTGAGGGGAGCTGATTTTGGGAGCGTCACCCACGTCCCACGGGAAGGAGCAGGCAGACGTCCCCCACTGCTGGCAAGGGGTGCAGAAATGGGGGTTCTGCCCCTCCTGGCCTCTCCCTGGGCATCTTTGCAGCCAATTCCCACGGCACAGTGACCCCGAGAGCAGAGCCACGAGCAGTGGGTGCCCAACCGCTGCCCAGAGCTGCTTTGCTCTTCCCTGGAGAGCTCCAGGCTTCGCCACAGCCAAGCCAGGGAATTATCAGAGGAAATCTCTCCCCAAGCCCTGAATTAACAGCACTGTCCCGGTGCTCGGGGCTGTTTCCCCTCTGCAGCCACAGCTGGCGTTGCTGCAACGCCTGTGGGACCCCTGTGGGACCCTCAGGGACTCAGGAGCTGCGGAGAGCTGTCCCCTGCTCTGGCTGGCTGTGCCTCTCCGTGGTGGGAACCGCTTCCAGAGGATGGGTGTCACGAGGACGGGGCTAAGCCATCCATCACGCCCAGCACTAATTGGCTCCCCTGCTTCAGAGGCCAAGGAATAAGTGAGCTGCAAAGATTGATGTCCCTTCCCCGCAGCAGGAAAAACTCTCCGGGCCAGGGCTGAGGGTGGATCCCTGCCAGGGGTTGCCTAGGTTTGCCTGTGCCAGGCCTGTCCTGGGGGTGAGAGGCTCCAGACTGAGTGTCCCTGGAGGGGCAATGGTCAGCCCAACCACCAACCCCCCCTCCCAGGCCGGGACCACGCTGCTCCCTCCCCTCCCTGCCTTCCCAGCTCTGGGAAATGTCCCAGGAGAGCGGCCAGCTGTGAAAAGCTGCAGCAGCTGGAATGTGGGAGGGAGGGCAAGGCTTCTGGAAAGGCAGAGGCAGCCGGGGAGCAGGACTTATCTGTTACCTCCCCGTGAACTGACACCTCTGGTTTAACCCCGTGCATGCCTGGAATGCCCTGTCCTCACATCTCCAGTCAGCATCACCTCCCAGCCTCAGGTCCCACAGCTGTGATTTCCAAGGCAGAGGCCTCGCAGGGATGCTGGACGGGATTCCTGGCTGTGGACAGGCTGCCTCCCTCCGTGGCTGAGCAGATCCAGCAGGGACAGGAGAACCAGGGCTTTCAGGAGGTGATTTGGGATGAAAGCGTGGAGGGATGAATGCGCTATCACCTCGGTGCTCTGTCAGATCTGGAGCGGGGCCAGCGGAGGATTGTTTGCCGTGGCTCTGCTCCAAGCCAGAGGCACCACAATTGCAAACTCCCCCCCACTTCCCCGGCCCACGCAACGCCGAGCCCGCCCAGCCGACTGCTACGGGCAGGCCAGGGGAGGGAAAAACAACATTTTCCCACAAAGCCGTGGCCTCGCCCTTCCCCAGGCAGGCGCAGCGAGCTGGAATCCGGCGCTGCCCTCACCACCCCGGCAGGGCTGGCTGTGTCCTCACACCTATTGCCCCACGGCGGGTCTGGGAATGTGGCTCAGCCCCGCAATCCCATGGGATGGGGATCCAGAGGCTGCACCTGCCGGGCTCACAGCTGGGACAGCCTGCAGCTGCTGGTGTCCCCTTGGGTCTGTGCCACTCTGTGTCACCGGGGCAGTGGGGCTGAGGGACAGGATCACCATCCTGATGGTTTAGCACCAGACACCGCCAGTGGGTTGTGCCTCAGTTTCCCCACCCATAATGGTGCTGCTGCACTGGGCAGTCGCTTTACAGAGAAGCCACAACGAGTGATAATTGATATTGCACCAAACCTGCCCACAAACGGGGTCACTGCATGTCCAGGAGCCCCCTGAGGTCAGGGCCACCCAGAGAGGGACTGAGGACTTGTGGCCGCTGGACACTGAGCTGCTCTTTTCTGGTATTTTGTACCCAGAGAGGGTGGTAGGGACATGGTGAAGGTGGTGAGGACAATGTGAGGATGATGGGGAAAAGGTGAGGGTGATGGGGTACAGGTGATGGGACCAGGTAAGGGTGGTGAGGACAAGGTGAGGGTAGTGGGGACAGGCGAGGGTGGCGGGGACAAAGTGAGGGTGGTGGGGACAAGGTGAGGGTGATGGGGAAAAGATGAGGGTGGTGAGGACAAGGTGAGGGTGATGGGGACATGGTGAGGATGATGGGGACAAGGTGAGGGTGGTGAGGACAAGGTGAGTGTGGTGGGGGCAAGGTGAGAGTGGTGAGGACAAGATGAGGGTGATGGGGACAGTGTGAGGATGGTGGGGACAAGGTGAGGGTGGTGAGGACAAGGTGAGGGTGGTGGAGACAAGGTGAGGGTGATGGGGACAAGGTGAGGGTGATGGGACACAGGTGAGCTGCTGTGGCACAGGATGGTCCCCATGACCACCCTGCTGCCCTGGTTCTCCCTCTCAGGGATGGATGAGCCAGCCCTGGAGGTGCCAGCCCTGCTCCACCTCTGGAAAGCCTTGGATGGCCCCAGGGCTGCACTCCTGCTAGGAAACAAGAGGAGCTGGGGTGGGAACACCCGTGGCTGGTGAGGCAAGGTCCTGGCCTTCCCCCGGGGCCGGTCCCCAGGGCTCCGGGGAACACAATGCCTTTGTTTGGGACTTGGCCCGGGCAAGGAGCCCTTCCCTCCCTGCTCAGCCCCAAAACACCAACCCTTCAAAAGGCCTGTCCTCCCTCCCCTTCCCCCAGCAATGCTAATGTGCCAGGCCTCTTCTCATGAACCCTGGGAGAGATCGGGCTGGTAGACAGCTTCACCACTTGTTAAATGTGTGTTTAGCGATCTTGTGAGTAGACAAGAACAAATACAAACAAGCCGGGCTGGAGAGCCCCTGCCCCTCCGCCCTGCCTGGAACGCAGCAGCCCCAGAGCCTTTCTTCTCTAACCACTTCAAACTTTCATTTCTTCTG